GGGGATAGGTCAAGAGACAGAAAGTAACAGCAAGGGAGAGGAAAGAGGCCAAGGAACTGGCTGGTCTGGCTTCTGTAAAGCAGCGCTGAGAAACAGGAAATCAATAGCTAAAGCCATTCAGGCTGCCAAATACTGGTCACTTTCCAGTAGGCCACAGCTATCACTGAAATCCCATTCATAAAGAAAGTGTTGTTTAGGACAATGGTAGATGGAAAGTTATGCTGGGAAAATAAGAACAGGCAAGCAGGACAATGACAGAATTTTTCTAAATTCAGAAAATAACAGATATAGAAGACATATGAAACAGATGATGGTCAGTGCATTCAACCTTATACCTTTTACATGTGCTGATGTCAATTTAATTAAAAAGTCACCATTTTATTTTGAGGTTTTAACTAAATGAGAATAGAATAAACCTTTGACTGGGATTTTTCTCCACGCTTAACCGTGCTTATCAAAGAGGTTCAGTTTCAGGATCCTCATTTTCAATAAATTCTTCACAACCAAATCATTTTTGGATAGTTTAGGAATCAAGTATGTTAAAATTAGGAAATGTGATAAGGGTATTGTCCTAAAACATGACCAAATTTGGTCCAAGTTTTAGAAGGTGGACAGTTTCACACTGGACTTTAACTAGCCTTTCCATTCAGAGGGGTTCACGCTGTCCTGTGGCTGCAATCCCACATGATCAAACTTCCACTGCCCTGTTGGACAGTTTGTTGACATGAGGTGTTAATTGAGGACAGGTTTTTCTGAACACAGTACAGTCTGACCTTGGGGTGAGCTTACTGGGACCTCCTCTCCTGGGAAGACTGGACACTGTCTTATTTTTCACTACTGAATAATCTTTTTCGCTGTATGAAGGTGGGCTATTTATAAAGCCATGTGGTCCCACTGTGATTTGTCTAAACAGCTTTATTGCACTAAAGCCTCTTATGAAAAAATCATGTATTAAAGAAATGGGATTAAAATCAGTAAAGGTCATTAAAAATGAATTTGCTGCAAAGGCAAAAGGCCTTGACTGTATGTGTGTGTTTAGGTTTTGGACGAAAAATATATTTTCCAGTAATGTTTACGAGAAAACTCCAAGTACGAGTAATGTTTTCTTCTGATAAATCTATCACGTTTCTCATACTGTGGAAATATGTCTCTAGTTTTCTGCTGCGCTGCAAAATTACATTGCTGGTTTTTGCATACTGATGCAACCATCTGGCGGCAAAACAAGGATGCATGGCTGCTTTTCTAATTCACTATATCTTTTTTCATATAGTAAAACATCCCCAGGCAGTTCACCTAACTGTCCTTTGACATGAATTCTTCAGAGTCAATTGATGCAAGGTACCATAAGCTATATTTCAGCCTGTGCAATCAGTGAGGAAGATCAGTGGTAATGTACATTTTATTTAGCAAATAAATCTGACATTATTAATTCATCTGAATTTTGAATTTTAGTAACTATGATTTATGATATAGACTGGCTCCTCCTGCTTGTCATCCATTCATATCGATACAGAGCCACAAATTCTTTGGTAATTCTTCATTAAAGTTTCCTCCTCCAACACTTTACCTAGCTCTATTAAAGTCAGTCAGCAGCTGAGAAGTGTACTGTCAGCTTGTTTCTTAAAGGTCATAAGGAAAAAAAAAAGTCAGACAGATAGTGATGGCTATATTGGGATTGAATCTTCGGCTGTTGAAGCTAATTTCCTCTTAAACCTGACCAAATGTCAGCAGCAGCCCTGTTTGAAGACCCTGCAGAATACTGTCAGTTTTGGATGGCTGAAGTGGTAATGGATGGTACTGGAGTCATTAGCAATGGTATGAAAGTGGATTATGCTTTGTATGTCTCCGAGAATAGAGTTACATTTGAAGAATATCAAACTGGAAGGTCATCCAAAGAGCAAAAAACTCTACCAATGAGCATTTCTTCATAGTTTTAATGAAAGTGGGCCTAACCCACCAGGATTTTTCATTGACCGCGATCCAGTCCTGCAAAAAGTTATAAAAAAGACTGTTTAGTTTTTGCTATCTTTCTGTTAGACATACAAACACACCGTAGGGACAATCACCCCTGCTAAAGCTCAGAATCCAAAAGCAGAATCTATGATGGTGTGGTTGACTGGGGTCTGTGAAAGTGATGAATTATGTTGCAAGTTTGACATTTTCTAGATACTCTAATTTAGTTGTACTGCTGAAAAGATCACAGGGGCCAGCCAAAAATGTTTTCTGTGCTTTAACAGCTTCCAAAAAACTGCTGTGGTAAAACAGAGAAACTGTTGCACATCCCACACATACAAAACAAGGTGAGCTTTAATTTGTGGTGTACCTGAATGCACCGTTTTCCTCTATAATGGACAAGAGTAAAACATATACCTGAATTACACAACAAAATGTCCAGGATGTACTCCCTTAGGCACATCATGCTTTATTCTTTTAAACCAATTAGTTTTTAAAATAAAGCTTTGAAACCCTTTTCTCCTTTTGAGGACAAAAATGCATTTCTGGATCTCTGTCAGCTTAAAAATCCCCTCCCCGTCAATCTTTTGGGGGGTGTTTTGAATCTTTTGGCAATTAACTCTTCAATAATGCTGTAAAATGTCAAATGTAAAACAGCTCCACCCCTAGTGTCTGGTGGACAGATCTCATAAGCTCACATGACCTACCATCACATTCTCTATTTTACAGCTTACTTTAACAGGGTTGGTTAGTCCTGCAAAGGCTTTAGAGATATGTGCACAATGTGAGCATACAGGGGATGGAGGGAGAGACTCAGTTCAGTGGACACAGCTGTGAATTGTCTCGATAGAATTCTGCTCAACTCTGAAGAAACCTTGAAAACTACCAGATGTAAAATATAAAAGATGTTTGTGGTGATCTCCAAATATGTACAAGTGCAGGCTTTAAAAAAAAAAATGGGCCCAGATCAGTCAATGACCATAGCTATTACTAAAACTTTGGATTTTGGAGAAGCTATACAGCAGCAGCTGGAAATGCCACGATGCTGTATTTCAGCATAACTGCACAAATATCAATTTCTTCTTCATTTCAACATTATTCAGAATTTTGACAAAGCAATAGAAATTCTGGCATCTACAGATGACACACTTCTGTGATGAAGGCTAGAGAGCCACATGTGAGATATATTACTTAAAGGCACTGCTGGTTGGTTTCATGACAACAGTATTAAGTAGCGTTGTATACTTATTGGAAAAATAATACATTGTTGGGGTGGATTCAGCTTTGCCCACATGAGATATAGGATTCACGCACCATGGATCCCTTATTTTAGACACTCCAAATAAAAACCTCAACAGGACAATCAATGATAGGTTCTAACAGTTCAAGTCAACAACTAGTACCAGGTCAAAGTTGAAGAATGTTTATCTTTCATGATAAGTTAAAGCTGTCGGACACATCATTTTCTGTTGTGGCCTCTAAAACCTTTTTCTTGGACTTAAAGAACTTCTTTCTTCGTAACAAACATGTTTTTCACATTTCAAACAATCACTTTAAGTACTTGTGCTTCCCTATCTAAATCTGATGTCATTTCCCCCTGTCATTTATGTGCATGTTAAATAAGGAACATGCTCTTGGCTAAAGTGGATGTAATGTATCCAATGTAATTGCATACATGCTTTCACGCTGCTGAGTGCTCATCAGATTTAATAAGACTAATAAAAGACATTATCATGGTGGTGTATAAGACAGCCTTGAAAAAAATAAGTCAGCCTGTGATGCAGCAGACAAGGCAAGTCTCCCTTCATCTCTCTTTGAACACTTTTACCTTCAATTACATTCACTATACAAACAAGATCATTTTCTTATTCCCTCTAGTGCTGGATTTTGAATAGACACTAACATGTCAGCAGTTTCCCCACTTATACATTAAAATAGTCCTGCTTTTCTGAGAAAGCGATGGCAGTTGAAAAATAGAGAGAGAGAAGCCTGATGTAAAGTATTTTAAAAAGACAATATCCATTATGTGAATGGTGGGTACAGCTGATGGTACCCAGTCAAAACTGAGAATGGCAGGCTTCCTTGTTTGTTGAGCTGTAAGATTACTTACCACCGGCCAGAACATTGTTTGCGCCGAACCCTTCTCCAACACCAGCGAGTCTTCTGCAAATACCGAACTCATGCCTCTTGTTACCACTGAATCCTGGCATGGTTCTTCGGCCCGGGTGCAGGAAATTAATTGAGACAAAATATAACACAAGTGTAGACCAAAAAAAAAAAAAAAACAACACAAAGGGAAAACTTTTAAAAAATGACTGACAAGAACACAAACTATCACAAATTACAAAAGAAAGGGTGTTTCAGCAAAAGAGAGCATATCAGTTGAGTCAGCAGTGGCAGCAAGCACCACACAGAAAACCATAATAGATGGAATTGCTGTCTTACCTTCAACAAAAGCAGTGTGGTTTGAAGTTTCCAGTTACCTCAACAGAGAGGAAACTTCCCTAAACTGCTTCACATTAAGATGATAACTTAGTTTCGGCATGATTTGGATGAAGAAGCAGATAAGAGATTACACTGGCAGCTGACCAACTCCAACACTTAAGATGCCTTTTGATCATTTCTACACATTTTCTGTTTTCACAGTAATTAGGCGACCCACGAGAAAGACTGCAGTCACAAGCAGCCTTTACAGTGTAAACTCTCCATTAGCAAGCATGGATCTTCACATACAGGCATAAACACAGATTCCCCAAGTAAATGGCAGTAATTTTACAGCAGCCCTCTGCCAGCACAAATGGATGCCAACATCACGACAAAACCTGGGAGGCTGAGAAGACATACAACATGTCGGAATGTGGTTTGTCCAACACTCACCTCACGCATATATCAGGCACGCATTATGCTAAGTGCTTTTAAGGTCGTCCCAAATTAATGCTTGTAGTAAGACTGAAAAAAATGGACCGATTTGAATGATTAAGCATTAAAAAAACAAAAAACTCCATCGTTACATCCATACCCACAAATACACCAGAAAGATTAATTTGTTTTGTCTAATCCAGTTTATTATTTTTCAGAAAAAGAATAGTTGGAAAGAGGAAGCAGAAAGTAAAGCAAAATAAACAAAAATATATAATCTTCCACATTCATTTTCCCATTTTCATGACCACATTACAACCAAAAAAGCTCAACACATAAGTGTAGGTAAGTCTAAATGTAAGAGGTTAAACAAAGTTTTCTGCAAGATACACAAGGTTCATTCAATATGTATTTTCTGTTCATTCATCCACAGTTCACCAGGAAAACACCTGAAAAGTCAAATATATGCGTATTTTAACTCTGAGCACTCTGCTTGCCACAGCCTTCTTCCCTCATCTACAGCAAAACAAGGAGGAAAGACGGAGGTAAGCTGAAATGCTGAAATGAGTCAAAGTAGAGCAATCCAAACAGGGAAAGATGAGAAAAGGAAAGATGAGGATGCACATGATCACATCATGTTAGGTACAATTCCAAATATGTAGCCAGGGATACTAAATTATTGGTAAAAAGAATTAAAGCCAAAGACATGTTGCTTCAATGCTGGCACCAAACATTTACAGCTGTGATATCCTAAGACATAAGACTTGAAATCTGAAAAGCATTCACAATCCCAAACCCAGGTCCAGATCACCCAGGTCAAAGTGTACAATAACTTCTGATTTCACCTCTTTATACTCTATGTGAACGACAGCTGGGCATATCAAATAACACAAAAGATTCAGGTTGTGTGTATTTGCAAAAGTAGAGTGATGCATAACAATGTAGACATTCCAGATCCAGTCATTTCCATTAGCACAAAGCCTGTAACTTTTCTTTTTCGGACACCCAATGCACACAATCCACACACTTTTCAATAAAGACTGAGGAGGAAATGTCTAAATGTAGAAAGTTTGAAAAGGGTAAGGGGATAAAGATGGACCAAAAGGAGGAACACAGAGAAAATCTTCAACAAATTAAATCTTCATTAGTTGATTCACCGGCGACAGGTAAGCGGGCAGTCTGAGGACAACCAGTTCATGGCCCCCACCACTGATACTTGTCTGAGTCTGGCCAAAGCTGAATGTTCTGAATAAGTCACCCGACACTTCTAATGTCACAGTGGCTGAGAGATTTCCACAACAGTCTCAAAACCAAGCAGCACATTTCCCATAGAAGTATGAAGAAGTATGCATGATGGTGGGGACATGAGGGCAGGTTGAGCTTGAGTATCCTGAGGTGGGTGATCAACAGGTGCTTGCGTATCTAAGGGATTAGGATTTAAAGGTGGATGGTAAGGAGGTAAGACATGACTTTAACAGAGGCTGGCTAGCTCTCTCGCCTCAGAGTGTCCGTAATTGGCGCAGAGAACAAAGCAGCTCTGGTCTGATTGCGAGGTAAAGAGCACAGTCTATAAACAGCGCCAAAGCCAAAGTGTACAAGACGGATCACCATCTCTTTCTCACCAGCGTCTTCCTCCACCTCACTCTGTTTTCTCCTTTCTGGTTTCTGAGGTAAAGGGTATAGTTCGGCTTCAAAGACAAACATTAGTATAAAGCATTGTATTTCCTCTTGCCATCTCTGAATTCACGTTTAGGCCGTTCATACTTTTGTCATCAAGAGCTTGCAAGAAGGTGGAAAAATGATATTTCCTTTGCTCTCGATTGTTCTGTCTTTATTGGATTTGCTTTTTCCAAAAGGCATCCTAGCAGCGGGGATATGATCGAGCAAACACAAGCAGGAAACATAAACAAGATGTAACAATGGAATTTAAAAAAAAGAAAAAGGAAAAAAAAAAAAAGCTTAATTTAAAAAGGAAAGAATGGGGGTCTGTATCCAAAAAAGCTGTAAAAACCCTGAAAAACTAAGTGAGAAGAAGAGGGAAATCATATCCCATTTAGTGCTGAGACACTGCCTGAACACAGAGGGTTCTCTGAGAGAACGGCTGCTCACGAGCACTCCTCCCCAATGCGTTGGCATGAGCGGCCCACCTTGCGGTCGAGCTTGACCATTTTCAGGATAGCCTCCTGACGCCCGCGGCCCAGGTGGTCGAAGAGACACTCATGTTGCTCTGGAAGACGATGGAGCATACAGAAAACATAGCCTGGGAGGGAGGAGACAAAGAGTGATTAATCTACTGACTTCATTCTTAAATCGAACCTAACTCTCTTAAAATCTACCTAAATGTAAGATATGCTGTAATTGTAATTCTTTAAATGGTGATGAATTTTCAGAGATAAAACTACGAAAGTGTCTTGCCAGGATTCATGGCCTAATCTGTCCTCACTGTAACACTTTCTCCATGTCTTTAGAGCCTACCAGGCTCAGTAAACTCAGAGGCGATGGTTAGCTCTTATCGTTTTAAATTATTCCATAAATACGTATAATAACAGTGCTGGCAATCAATATGTGGTAATTAAATGCTGTGTCTTCATATCCAATTAAAACCTGCACAATTACTGCACACTACAATGGAACACATGGAAACAGCTGCACAACTCTGAACGTAACATTTCACATTTACTTACCACAAGAGTAAAATTTTGTACCAAGTAAACTGCTAATGCTTTGTGGTTTTATGGAAAATTGATTATAGACACTGAGTGGTGTAATTAACATTTTAACTAATATGATAACACCCGTTTGTCAAAATATGTCTCGCCTTTTCAGATACATTCCATTAAATGCAAGTGGTCTTTAATGCATGTTTAACCTCGAGGTAAAAAAATGGGGAAATGGCTACCATGGGGAATGTGGGCAGAAAAAAGGAAATAAATTATATTATAAAACTTAATATGAACTACACAGTACACATCATTCACTATCATTATGCATTTAACAAAATCTAGCCAAGAGGCAGAATTTTTGAAAAGCTGAGTAAAATCCCCTAATTCGATAGCTGACAAAACCACCTTTAACAGCTACATTTGAGGTAATTCTTTCTTTACGACATTGTCTGTGGATAACATTGTTGTATGGGAAATGGTGGCCCACGCTTTTCACAAAACACTGCTTCAATTCATTGAGGTTTGCAGACATTCATTCTTTTAAGGTCCTGTCACAATGTTTTAATCAGGCTGAGGTTTGGAATGGGCTACGCTACAACATCTAGTTTTTCAGTGTTTCGGTAGCAGATTTGCTTCTGTTTTGTTGCCACTGTCCTGTTAAACGACTCAGGTTGGATCAAGTCTCAGCTAAATTACTTCTTGCATACTTTACAGAGAATTAATGGTTGACTCGATGACTGCAAGGTGCCCTGCAGCTGCAAAACAAATCAAATCATCAGACCCTCACTGCTTTAACAGCAGGAGTGAAGGGTGGGTGATGACATCATGATCTTTGGTGGCGCTGCCTATCATTACAACATGGTGCTATAACATTTTAGCTTTGTTTTTGTAAAGAAATTAATTATAAGACACGGTTATGTGTCATGTATTGTTGTCCATCTGAACAAATCATTATATGACCCAGTGAGAACCATATTTTTTCCTTTTTTTATTCTGTTCTGACACGTCACACCTTCGAATTTAAAGAGGATTTACTTTTTTTTCCATATCTATAACTATAATATATGCACACTCCTACAACTAGAAAATGCTTTCTTATTCCAACTTTGCGCACTCATGTCAAAAGACAAAGAATGCTGCAAATGCCCTATCACAGGACTTAAAAACCAACACCCTAACTCCCATATGTACAACCAAACGTTCACCATTACAGAATGCAGCAGAATAAAACTTTCATCCCTGTATTTTGACACAGGATGCAGCCTACGCTTGGGGCTTTGACCAGCTCAACTGATGACTTCCTAAAAAATGTCTAAGCCCAACGCTGGCAAGACCATCCGCTTTTACAGAGATCGTGTTTCTTAAAGTAACAGACTAATCATTTGCTGTAAGGAGTTTTAAACAACTCTACTCTAGGAGAAGATGCACCACAGTAGAAAGAACAAATAGACTGAAGCTAACATCTTTATAAAGTACCGCTTAGTCCCACATTTTGAAATGAGGTCAGTCAGACAACATGCATTTGAATTTAGGCCATATCGCTGAACATTCACTGGGTGAGGCTTGTTTAAAAAAAGAAAAAGGTGGTAGATTGTTGGCACATTGCAGTGATCCTTAAATAATTTTGGGTCGATGTTTGTGAAGTCACAACCAGTCCCATTCTTTTCCTCTGATGTTAAAAGAAGTGACTTAATTAGTGGTTGTTATTTTCTCGCCTTCAGTGTGTCATCAACAGATGTTTGCTGAATGTGAAAGGGCATGATTGGGTTCTCTATTAGAGCTACCTTTTCTTTCCCATTTTAAATTTGAGAGGTATTCAAGCTTTCAGCTAATTATAAAATTGTCTTGGCTATACAATAAGGAACATTCTGCAGTTACCTAAGTGATCTACAATTATAGCAACAGTCAGAAATCACTATAACTGCCACCATTTCCCCTTTTGGTTTAAAATTAAAAAAGAATTTTTTCATAGTGCACATTACACTATTAAGGATGGATGGACCGTGCTATTAAGCGGTGCCTGGTGTAAGTCAATTTCCAATTTAGACTATATTGCGTTGGTTGAAGCAGATTGGTCTTTAAGTAGTGAGGAGCTGCATTTTTTTAAGTACTTTAATTTGTATGCAAACAAGTTGATTAGTAAGCCAAGTATTGGTTCAAATTCCATTAGTGTTTCTGGTAATTGGCCTATGTTTTATATGCAATGAGAAACATTCAGGCTTTCAGAAGTGGTCCCCTCAGGCTAACAAAAGCACTCTGGTCATAGGCTTTTCTGTCAACACACAAACAAATGCCCAGGTAAGAGAAGCCTTTCCCTGTGTGGGGTGCAAAAAGTCAATAATGCAACTTATGATTAAGTCCACATAAATGTATTTATGCACCCATAACGCCATTATCTTGATAAAGCAGTTTATTGGCCAATAAAAGACTGTGTATACTAAGGATATTTGCGGTGATAAGTGGTTTGGTATGCATGCCAAGCATTTCACTACATGGATCATATGATGTGCATTTTCAATGTAAAGTACAGTGTCATACCACAGCGACAGGAGCCCAGCTCTTGCTGTACAAGCTCCAGTTTGGTTTGGCAGCGATGGCAACGTTTGCGGCTCGGCTGTTTAGGGACGTTCCGAGAAGATGGCGATGATGTAGCCGAAGATGATGACGACTCTTCATTCTCAGGGACTTCACTCACCCTTGCTCGCTTCTCAGGTGAAGCATCACTGTCAAACTCTGAGGCTGGAGACAAGCACAGAACAAAGTGCACTTAATAACCACATCTCCATCAGTTCTTGGTCAGATGTAGTATGTTTCACAAAAGCAGGTTCTTTGAAACACTGTTAATGCGGTATAAGACTGGAACCACATCAAAACAGTTTTAACAAGAAAAGGTTACAAGAACCTCTTAATGGTTTAACAATGGGTACCCCGCATTTGTATTCTGCTTCTGTTAAAGCTGAACCAGTCTACATAAAGCAGTTACAGATCCAATTTAGCTTTACTCTACTAATCAACAAGGGGGAATTTAAAGAACATTAAGAGAACAGTCGCAAAATGAAGTTTTCTGTTTCAGACATGACAAAAAAATTACATGCAAAGGAAAATCAACCCTCCAAAATGGTTTCAATTTATTCAGCTCAAATTTAGCGACACCTCACATTATTCTAATTCATGCATGCAAATAACAAGGAGGTATAAGCAGAATTGTTAGTGAAAAAACCTGACCTCCAATAATCCTAACTCACTAATGACAGTATGCAGCTGGGGAAAGCAGATGATGGCACACAGGCCAAAAGCGTATGTCATATGTTGAATTTCTAAGAAAAGAAAAAAAAAGATAAGAGGTCATCTGCGTTACATTATTTGAGCATCACTGCATCAGGAACAGCTGGAGCCAGTAGTGACTTTGAGCTTGTCCGCTAAGATTTTCAACTCAGCTTTTCTCATCAATTCTCCAGACTTTTACCCGGCCCAATTGCAGATCAGCGCTCAATAAATCTCTGGGAACTGGGACGAGCTAGAAATTAGATGCACCGCCCACTAGGCTGCCTCGGTGATCCCCCTTTCCCCCAACATACGCAGATATGTGAATCTGTACATCTGCAATTTCATGTTATAAGAATCGCCTCCCTTTACACCTGCATCTAGTTATTCTTGTAATCTGCCTGCAAGTCAGCAACTTTTTAGTACACAAGGTGTTTGTCCTACAAAACGGAAGCATTTTTAACTGTGTAAGTGAAATATGTCATACAATAAACAATTGAATCTGGATTTTAAACACAATAAGTACTTTCCTTTAAGGGAGGCTTATTATGATACTGTATATAATTAACTCAATATTATTAAACTTACACCTAAATGTATTGCCTTTGCCTGCTTATTACATCCAGATCCAACTCCTACTAAGTTCAAGTGTGCACATGAACGTTCCTAAATGTCAACATCATGCAGAAATCTCCTGTTCTATTCTAAATATCTTCCCTATTGTTATTTCTCCTTGAACAATTAATCCAATCATGTTTGACCCTTCTATCTAATCTCCATAAGTAGGAATAACAAGAATAATGATATTACCAGAACTGAAACATACCTGACTCAAATGAACGTTTACTGGAAGTGGAGAGGGAACCCAAGACTGTGCATTTGCTGGATATTCCTAAAGAAGAGATTAAATGACAAAAAGCAAAGGAAAGAAAGCGGAGATGACACCAGTTTCTTTCGCTTTTGATTTCATAGTTAAGAAAAAAAAACAGTAATTCAGCCAAAGCAATTTCAGATTAAAAGAAACAGTTGCCAAATGTTTAAAGTGGTAATGTTTAGCTGGTTTAAAAATCAAATGAACTGAAAGATACTGGCAGACGGGGGGACGCATTAGGCTACCCTGAGTTTAAAATTATGAGAGGTTGAAGACAAAGGCTATCGGCGACCCTGTTCACGGTTGCCCGGATACTGTGGTACCATTTTCCACACAGGAGCAGCATGAAAAAGCTGTGACTAACCTGTGTGGAATTCTGCTGTGAGCTTTTTTCTTTTTCCCCAACATAACTGTGATGGATACCAGAGAAGGAATAACTGCAGTGTGCAGATAGAGGCCAGCCAAGAAATTAGTGAGGGATTAGACTTCGAAGACGTACTTTATGCTCAGAGGGATTTTGATGTTTTAAAAGTAGTTTAAAGTGGTCAATTATATGAATACAGATAAATTAAATAAACATATTTTGTTCTCAATCAGTTTATGCTATAAAACAAGAGACAATAAGACATGCACCATTTACATGTCGCATGGACCTTCAAGTTGGCCAAACAATGCTTTTGTGTGACAGCCTAAAGAGGGATGTTGTATCTAAAGATAAACGCATGGTTATCAGTTCTTATTAAAGTATTTGTCTTTTTTTTGTTACTGTGGACAAGGTTATTGTGGGAATTTTTTCAGCAGCTCCGAACATCAATTTAGTGGCTACTTTTTATGTCCTGTGCTGAAATGGCCTCCACAAATAACCTCACGGTTCAGCAATGACGGATGCCCTCGCAATTGTAGGTGTCCTCTTCCAGCCTATGTTTCTGAGTAGATATCCTTACCTATCATTCTCTCCCTCTGTGTGTGCCATGAGGACAGAAATAGCCGGAGCTACAGCAAGGCAGCTGACGACCCTTCAGTCTTCTACAGAAAGGCGCAGCCCACTTAAAGCGACAATCATTTGGACTTGATCATTAAAGTGTCTGCATTAAAATTCACTTGCGATTTTTCTGCACAGCTAACTATCAACGTGTAAGGCAAGCATTACCAACCAAGCACGCCATATTGTGCAGGCTTTATGTAGCACATTTCAAGTGCACTTACCACAAAGACCTCATTGATTAACTGCTATCTTACCATCCTGAGCTGGAATAGATGCCTCTCCATTTTCTCCTTGCAAAGGCTCTTCTGAGGTGCTGGGCACTGTCAGTGACTGACTAATGCTGCTGTTAGTTTCATTACAGAAGATGTCCGTTTGACTGCTGCTGGTGCTTGAAGAGGCCTTTGGGGCACAATCGTCATTTGGCTGTTTCTTCTTAACGTCTAAGAAAAAAAAGTGACATGGTGAAATTCTTTTGGCATCTGTGTACATGTTCCAATACAGGCACTGTAACTTGGCTTTGCAGTGGAAGTTAACATGAGCAGTAAGTCAAGTATGTGTGGCTAAGTGATTTGTTTTTGGATTACATTTTTCAATATTATGTAAATGGCATTGCTTCCCTCTTGTATGTTTGGCAATGATTTTGTCACAGCATGTTATTATCGCCTGTGTTTGAGGATACAAAATATTCTGGAGAGAATTATTTCTGTGACGCCCAAATCAAAGCCTTGTATTGGACAATGCACACACTGAAACTTGCACTAATTGAAAAATTCTCAATCCTGAGGAAAGGGGAAAACAACACAATCTAATTTCTTCCTGTCAGTCCTGAGCTGACAATCTCAAGCCATTATCAAATATTCTGATCCAAATGGTGCAAGTAAATGGTGGAACAACACTCAAACTGCTGTCAATTACAGGTGAAACACTGAAACTCAGTAGTTTATCGACACTTTACACAGCATCACTTGAAATTAAAGCAAATATCCATTTCATTTCTGTAGTTACAGAAGAGTCCCACACATTTCAAGGTGTCAAAGTAAAGCAATTGTTCTTCATGGGCTTACATTTTCCAACATTTCTGTACCTGAGTTACAGCTGAGCTGAAAGAAAATTAGACCAATGTAGCACAAGCTTATTCCATCGAAGAAATTATGCGAAAAATAAACAAAACCTGGAAGTTGCAACTGAAGTGGGGCTGGCCCTGAAAGCTTATGAAGTTTCACTCTGCCATCTGTCAGTTCATTTTGGGTTTTGGGAGGTGCCAGAAACTCGTCATGAAATCATTGTAAATACTTATGATACTTATACTTACTTATATTCAGCTATTGTCATTAGATTAAAAACAATGTCTCTGTCACTCAGGTTCTTGTCCTTGTCAGCTGTGGTCTGACTTCTTGTTCCTTGAATTAACTGGAGCACACAGGTACGATCATTGTGCAATGCGCTGCCACAACGACGGGCAGAGATGTACTACCTACACAGAGTTTCATTTACTGTTGTGAAGAACACTGTCAGTTCTTTTTAAGTACTTTGTTGACACAAAAAAAAAAAGCTGCTTAAATGTTCAGAAAAATATCTCAAGGTCAGTAAATCGAATTGGAAAATGTGCAATCAAACAAGCAATCCTCCATGCATGATCATGTATTGATTTTACATTGAAGAGAAAAATGGCTGATGACACAATCCAGAGTGTGCATGAAGGCATCTGTGGATGTTTTAGCGTTGACTGGAAGGAAAACCCTATATTTATCTATATCAAAAGATGTAAAAAGCTTAGTTACTTATTATTTTAAATGTTGACTCCTGGAGACAGGCTGAAACAAAGAAATCATTTTGTTGATTCTCTTTGTAATAACTAGTAGTTTTCGGTCTTAATAATACAAGGGCTGCATAAGAAGACTACTGGAATGAATATCTCCATTGTCTTTATCATTTATATAATTTTTTAAGATTATAATAGACATGAACCATTTAAAGATGCTCTACCTTTTCATTCTATGTAATAATCTTAATTAGGATTGCTCATTCTGTATTTTTGGTGAATGGTTTTTTTCACCAACTTCTGTTCAGACTGGCAGAAAGTTGGTTTACCTTGGACTCTGGTTTCATTGCTTGCTCTGAAATTATTATAGCTCCACTGTGTGTGACTGATAGAAAAGTCTTTCAAAATGACCCCATCCTTTCTCTCAGTGGTGTCACATATACTGCTTATAAGAAAAACAGAGACTTTTTTCAAACATCTTATTCGAAGAATTTTGCAGAATGATGTAGGGAAAACTTATTTTAACTTAGGAACACAGTATGTACACTGGAGCTACTTACCTGCAAAACATTTTGAGCAGAGGTTCATTGTTTTGCTCGACCTGGGGGAAAGCAAAGAGAACTCTGTCAGTCAAGTAGCTTAAAAAAAAGGTTAAAAACAGAAAAGGGGATGGAAGACTGTTTGAGTATAGTTTGCTGGGAGGAACCAGTAACATGTTTCTATAAAGCCCAGGTCCAATGCTATCCCGATGGAGATACAAAAAAGATGATAACAATGAGTTTGGCTTATTCGTGACTTGGATAACAAATTAAATGATTACATGTATTTGGTCCTTAAGATTTTGATGTGCAACTTCATCAAAAGAAGGACGACTTGCTTGTCTTTTTGTCAAGGCCAATTTTAACCCTCTTCTCAGCTTTTTAATGGACTCAAACATTGTAGTTAAGACTATGTCCCAATGCAGTCAGGTACGTTATATAAATACCTTCTGTGGTCAATGTATTATGACTCAAAACTATTCTGTCAGTGGCATTCCAGCAATCAAAAGGTAGACTGAAGTTAACATATTGAGAATGGAAAAAAACTGTTGGGTTGAAGGAATCTGGATGATGAAGCGAGATGGCACGACCGAGCAATGTGCTGGCAGTGCACACAGCAGAAATGACACCCGTTTAACAAGTTCTACCATGATTTAGCAACAAATGTCGAATAAAAATCTCATTCACTTGCCTCGTTTAGCAAGTTCAAAAAACTTTGGCAGTTTTTGCAAAGCTTGACAATATTTTCTGTTTTCTAAATGTACAACCCCTCTTCCTTCCTGAGCATGAAAAGAGGCCTTTGTGGTAAACCAGGTATTTTTATGGGGTTAATCACTGATGCCTGTCGATTTTAGCTGCACAGCTCTTTCAAAACAGATGGCTGGCTTTGCTCAGAGAAAGCTCCTCTCATTTCCTCTGCGCACCCCATCCTCTCTGTGCATTGAGCGTGACGGTCACCACTATCAGTCACATTCTATTTATTTTGGGCAGTTCGTTGCACACCTTTGTCCTCGTTTCTAAATGTGGGGTCAGCTGCAGTCACCCTTAGGCCTGCCTGTCAGTCAGCTGCTGTGCAGTCGTGGATATAAAAGAGAAAGGAAGAAACCAGAAGTTGGGAAAGAGGAGACAGGAAGTCCGGTAAACAAGTCATATCCTGTTATCAAACTTCCAAATTAGAGGTAATCAACCATAGGCTAATTGACAAAAAAACAAGATTGAGGAAGAGTGATGAAAACTAGGTCAAACCTAATCCATTATCTATTAACCTGAGTGAAGTCTCACAACCTGTGAGAGCCTGCTGTGACTGAGAAAATCTTATTTAAACAGACAGGAAGATGGGCTATATTAAATCAAGTTTGAGTGACACATGGGAAAAATAGACTAGAGGAATTTGGTTCCATAAGATGCCACTGCCACTAAGCAGCAAAACAAATAAAAACAAATATAAGGAGCATGTTATCATCTTCAATCAAAAAGGCAGAGGAGCTCGTTTTATTACTCAGATATTCTTCTCCCCTTCAAAAATCTTCCCCAAACATATTTAGGGTCTGTTTGCATCCAGATATTTTCGGCTTCCCCTCAAAAGAATTTCAGCTCTCATATTTAAGTGCCGCTCAGACAAATGTCCTTCTCTCTAGTTCAAGACTGTCTCTCAGAATTTGGCTTCTTCTGCGAGTCCACTAAACTTCCAGCCGATTCTCCCTGCAATCACATAATTTATTCAGAGACGACCCTGTTAAAATAACCAGCCCGTAGAGTCCTAGACTTGACTAAAATGACACAAATATATTTTTTTAAATAAGAGCTTCACCCTCATGAATGTGCTCATTATACTTTACATCCTCTTAATTGTTGAAAACTGTTTGTTGAGCGCAGCATTTCACAGTTGATGGGATTTCAGGTCACTTTACAGATACAGTTCATATCTGTGTTAAAAACACTAATGAATTCATGGTGAACTCTAAAGATCTATGTCCCCTCAATAACTTTAACTGCCTCAACAACAATTTCCCTATGGGATGACATTTTTTTTTCCATTTAAATTCAATGTAAGGCAAGACTACCGGAAATAAGCCTTCATATTTGGGTACTCATAATATCTCTTAGTAGGCAAGACCATTTAAAGATAAATACTCTCCTAAATCATGAAAATGAGTCAATCATGTTTTCCTTTACAATGTGAATTATTAGACAAGAAATACTGTAACCTTCTTTAGGCCATATAATTCTCATAACATTCCTTTTGATTCATCTAAAAAATATTACCCATCCAAAATACAAGTGGCTTAGCCAGAGGTAAACTACAGATTCTCTTTAAAATAGCCCTGTTGCGATGACAGCAGCCATAAGAAAGCAGCTAAATTAGCATCATATTTGCTTCTGCCAGCAGGGTGAAATTTAAACAGGGTTGCTTAACAGTTAGTCACAATTCCTGCATGAATATTGAGATTCCAGGAGCAAAAAGCCTCAAACTGGAAAGCATAACACTTTAAAAATGCCAATGAATCTGAGCAGACACACTTTCCTAAGGTGAGACTGGGCACATTTACAGGAGGCATGGAGAGTTTTATCATTTCTGTGTGACAAAACATGAAATAAAGTTGTCAGACTGAATAAACACTAGTTTAAAATAACAACATGACCATATACGAATCAAAGTTTGCACAGACACTCGTCTAAAGTGTCATCACTTTATGTGGCTGCTTTACTTAAAATGTGTTCCTCTGTTTGGAGTACCTGGTTAAATTCCAACATCTCCCGTGTGATTTTACTACACTAGGTTTATGTAAAAAGGGAAAAACAAGTGACGGCCATTCAAACTTTGATTGGATAAGGAAATGTCATTCACAGGAAGAAGAAATAATCTTAGAGAAAATTAACTTTGGAGCTCAATCAGACTTCAAGGACGGGTATCAAAACATGGAATTTGTTGTCTGGGCATTTTAGTTTTTTACAGATTGTAAAATGAGTACTGTTTAAATAAAAACTACTTCTTTAGCTGATGGAACTTACTGCGAAATAGTTATTGTATTTCAATTAGTTACATGCTTAATACTTCTGGTTTAAAGGGGAAAATATATATGTATATTTCTGCTGCCTTTAAACCTAAATTCCCCTGACAGGCACTAAAGGTGTATCTGATATGCAACTAAAAAACAGTGACAGGTATATTTACTACTTTTATTAGAAAGGATGGATGCATTTCCTTCCTCTACTTTTTGAAGACCACTGAGCGTTTCCTCACATGCGCTTCACTGAAGAAATGTTCTGAAGCCGTTGTGAAACAGCGTCAAAAAGGACTCAGTTTCTGCCATCTTCACACTTTTCTTCCTGTGGAGATTTGGCAAACTGCCTTACATTTCTCGCTGCGCGAGAACGTCTCCAGCCGGAAACTTCCCACAGTGAAGTACTTGTGTGAACAGTAACCACAGACAAGTCAGGATAAAAATGCACAGTCTCTTGGACATCTCTGATCTTAACGTGTGAGAATGGCTGATGAAACAGCCAAGCAAGCTGCCCGAGCAAGAAGACATCCTGACCACACAGGGTTTTAAATCTTAATTGGAACTCATCTTTTCAAGACACACAACACCTGTCCAACGCTTTGTGAAATAAACATACTCTTAGTAAGTCATACATTGACCATCAGTGGTCTTCTTACCACACTTGTAAACAGCATGGACAAGCAAATAAATGAATAAAATAAAAAATTGCATATCAATTTGCACAGGCATAATTTATTATGTTATATTTTGTGATATAGATATTTTGATCTTTTGTGTTATTAATATCATTTATCCTTGTTTAGTAATATCAGGACCCAGTCCTGACGTAGAATGCTAAAGCACCTTAAAATTTCAGAGAGTAGTGTCCGCAAGGTGTCTGGGCAAACAGAGGCTCCCACCTGCATTCAATCAAGATATTTAGCTAGAATTTCTGAGATCTTACCATCTACTGACTGACTTTTGGAAGTTTCAGTACAACCTAAATCTATGCTTTTTAACATCTCACTTCTCTCCTTGTGTTTTGTGCAGTTATAAGCTTCTCAAGCACGACAAAAAATAAACAGTCCCAACTAAATATGGTGTCTTTTCAAACAGGTTTGACAAAGGGGAGAGGAATGTGGGAGTTAAACTCTGGGAAAGATACATAAGAAAGACCACAAAAACCTTGATGAACAACCTTTGGTTTAAAGTGAACTGCAAAAACTAAAATAAACACTACAGAGGTGACCACCTATTCTCATTTTTCTAGGAGTCTGTTCCCACTGAAAAAATGTATTTCTGTTTATAGGTAACCAGATAGCACACATATTCCTCTAACAAAGTCTCAATATGCAAGAGAAAAATTCCTGCCAAACCCCATTTAGCAAGAAAAGGTAGTTTTAGCTATGCTCTGTAAAAGACCCGTCCTCATTCAGTGGGTCCTTCAGATGCCGAATTTGAATCAGGAGTGCCTCTGTCTGCTATTGTTAGTCAGGAAAATGTCCCTGTTTCAGCCAGTTTCACCTACAGTACCAGATAATGTCTGGAGTAGGCTGCTATTGAGAAAGTTGAAAAAATGACTAAACAAAAAAGTTTAGCAACTAAAGGCAGGCTTTGGGTGCAACTCAGGTGGATGTTCACTGTTCACTGTTTACTGACAGGTTTCATGTACTTCTGCTCATCTGACGCAAGTTCCTTCCTTTTTTTCAAAGACGATTTACCAAAGTTACACTTTTTTTTTTAGTAAAAGCATTTTTTAAACTATCATTTCTACAAAGGATTTTCACAGATGCATGTCAGATTAGGGATTTGCTCAAGGCACAAGTTTAGATCAGTATTACGCAGACCAAGACCGTGCAATTTAGAACAAAAATTTTACTCCAGTGCAAATTTCAACAGGTAATTTTCTGTCCTGAAGAGGTCAGATGTGCTGTCATTACTAAAAAAATTATAAGAATTGCTACATTGATTTGATGTAAACTTAACCCCCCAAAAAAGTGGACTCATGATTAACTCTGACCAGGTGGATCTTCACTGCCTATTGTGAGAGGCCATGTTAACTTTGGTCATGCACCTAGATAAACATATCTTTTGTTAGATGTGGTGGTAAATGTTTATATATTACATCATTTCTAAACTTACTTAGTAACATGTTGGGTAGCTGCCACAAATAAACAAATAGTTTCCTGTCAAGTGTAATAAATTAGGCCTTTTAATAACGTAAGGTCAGTCTAAATATACATTTTAAACAAATAAAATTTAACCAGTCAGGCATACTATATTACAATAAGAACACAGTTGTCATGGAGATAAACTTTGTCAAGTTAGCCGACGAATGCAAAAAGTAAACAAACTCTGCGTATCTCAACTTTAGGCATCATTATGGCTTTATACTTACTAATCATCAACATATTGTATACACAATGTCAAACATTATAATGCAGCGATCACTTCTATGCAATTATGCCGTGAATGTATCTACATGTAACTTTCTGTTCCCAATCAATTTGAAACGGTGTGCTTCAAGTGTGTCTCAACATCTGCCTCTCAGTGTGGAGGGCTAACCTCACAGCCCTACCCGGGTCACTTCTTTTACAGGATAAGGTTACCGAGGCCAGTTGGTATTAGCCAGAAGCTAAAGCTACAAAACAATGGGGAGGGGTAAAGACAAGAAAAGCAGCTCATCCCTGTAAGAGCCGCTAATGCTAGTGGCTACCAACTATGCTAACAGTTAGTTGAAGAAGAAAGATTCTGAAAGCGATAAACATGGCCATTTTTTGTCAGCTTACCCCCAAAATCCGCAGGGGCAGCGAGGGGGTAAAACGTTGACGTTGCTCGGAGCCTTGCTGCCCTCACTCCCGGTGTCACCCATATCGGTCTACCGTCACAAGCTCTCCGTGTAGCAGGTGAATCCGTGGATGCAGCGAGGGCCTCGTATTTGCGTTTAGACCCACTTAGCCGTAACGAGTACTCGGTCTAAACTCTGGCCCGAATAGTCCACGGAGTTTCGACTTGAAATGGTCGATTTGCCGACACGAGCGGCCACTGACTCCGTAAAATTGAAACAGTTTGAGTCGAGGTGGGAGCCGTCAAACGCCTACGACGGACACAGCCACCGGGGACACTAGGCCGATCAGCTGGAGTGACGAGCAAACCACTGGCTGGTAGGGGAGGTGAATAGGAAACTAGTCGAACAAAACTTGAGCCGGTGTTTTTCAAATTAATTGTAGCTTTAAATACATATATAAACATCTTAAAAGACGTATTAAATAGGGTATTCATGTTGAGCTCCAAAAATGATTAATTTAAAAGTTTTTTGGGGGAGGAGAACTTCAATTATCATGGTATGGTCCATACAAACTACCATCTACATTTCTGGAGTCCTGAGCATTGAAAGTCTACGGCATTGTTACTGAATACGTTGGAACGACAGAATTATGTTTGTTTATTATGAACTTTCAGCAAAAGTTCGCTTTAAAGAGTTTAAATCTACATCTGGAATCCAGATTTGCTAAATCCATACGGTTAATCTAAGGGATATTAGTATATTGAAAAATGTCCCTTACATTTTTTACAAAATAAATGTCTTTTATTGGGCATACCTTCCAGTGTAACAAGAGAAAACACAGTTATATGTTAGAATTTTCATCACAAAAGTGTCAATAGAAACCATTCAAAATTACAGCCAACAGGTCATGCAAAAGATGGCAATAATGTTGTCACGTTCCTACAGGAAGTGTGTGTTCTCCATTAAAAGGAAAATAGTTTGAATGATTTCCAGGAGCGGCCACATTTGATTTTAGAATCTATAAACTGCAAGTTAATATTATTATGATGTTAAATCTTTTAGGTCTATCTTTAGATATGTTTTGACCCAGTGCAAGGGTTGTATGGAGGTAAATGCTGTTGCCTCAGTAAGAAAGTCCCTGGTTTCAATCCCAGGAGCATGTGGTCAGACCAGTCAATATTCAAGAGGTTTTGGATTAAGTAGACAGCTGTGCTCAAAATCAGAGATACAATTAACCATCCAGACTGTTATTTGCAAGGAGTCTAAAGCCTTTCTCTCATTTGTTCTTTTTCCTATTATCTCCTTTTTTCTCCTGTTTGTTTTTGTCTGCTTCCAGACAAGTCTGGTTGTGCAGTGTGCTAATTTCTCATTCAACTCGCCTGTGGATTCTCCCAGCAGTTGCATGGCCTGGTTTACTCTCTGCTTTTTACCAGATTAACCTCTGCTGTACTCGGCAGGTCGGTTACTTTGTCTTATGCTCTGTAAAGCTTTCCCAAACCTGTTAGTTTGAATCTTTTCTCTCTCAAATGGAGTCATAGTTTGCTCTGTTCAGCTTTGCATCTGGATCCTACAGCATGGTCTGTTTAGACCTGACAAAAAAGGACTCGACAGCTACAATTCTAGTTTAAAAAAAAAAGAATTAGACTAAAAACCTTTTTATGAAAAGGTCCTGACATTGCCATAATGAAGATTCTTTTTCTTTTCTTTTTAAGGCTCCAACTCCATACAACGTAATAGTATGGATGCTGTAACTAATAAGCTCTAACAGCTTCTATGCCTGGCTAAGGTGAAGGGTATATGGAGTGTACTTATATAGTGCTTCAAGCATAGCTGGCCACTTAAAGAGCTTTTACACTACAGGCCACATTAGCTCTTGCAGAAATACACACACTTCATATGCAGCACATCATGATTGAAGCCATACGTTGCTTTTTCTTTTAAACATTCATGCTCTGATGGAGGCAACGTCAGGATTAGTGTTTTGTCCAAGGACACTAGTAATTTACATATGAAGGTCCTTTTCCCTGAGCTGATGTACTCACAGGTTGTGGTTCTTGTATAGATGTTGTCTCCTGCTTGTTAAGGATTTTTTCCACCTGTTCAACCATTTGAGCACACAGGAATACAGCAATAGCAAAACTCTGACACAGCTACTGTATAAAGCCAATGTTGCAGCCAATAAGCCACAGGCAAAATCACAATCACATCGCAGACGTTGCAGCAGTGTTTTCCCAAAGGAGCACTCATCGTCAGCTGCAGATGGGTAGAGTGCAATGAAATAGCCTCTCAAGTTTTCTGTCTTAACAAAATGATATTATCTGTTGATGATGCTTCAGCTAGAGGTGCACTAATGCTCACCTGCTCTTAACAAGAGCTGATCTTCTTCTGTAAAACATATTTTAATATAAGAACAAAAGTACTATGAAGTAAGGTGAACGTGGCTAACACAAAACGTCTCAAATCTTCGTGGCAAAGTAGTCCTGTCTCCACATACCACATCAAAATGCAGCACCATATTTAATTTTTAAATGAGAACAAATGTCAGAGTTCATTTCAAATAAATGTTTGGAAAGAATATTTTTGCATGTTGGTAGTTGTTCCATTTGAGGCTTTTAGGACATCTGTGTGAGCCCAGTTGGTATGATTTTAACAGGCGATGACTAAAGGATTGTTGTTTGAATTTTTTCTACACCATTCACTGTCATTAAGGCTTTGTGCAATTAAATCTTTGGTATTTATTGCTATTGGGTTTTGGTATTTACCATAATTTCAAGAAGACGAATTGTAATGTTCCTACATTTTTTCTCATGCATGTTTGTCTGATGCCAAACAAAACCACCAAGTGCACAAATGGAGACACTACAGGATCAGTGTATTTTTATGGGTGGTTAAACAAATTATCTTCTTCGACATAATGTGGTCACTAAACGGCAATTTTCTTTTGTTTTTTGGGGGGGTTTTGCACTGCGGATGTAATCTGTGTACATTTAAACCAGTGAAGTCATACAAGTCTGCTTAGTTAATAACTAATTCATGGGTTGATCAATTCATACCTGGCAAATACTTCACCACATCAGTTTGCTATTTAGAAAGCGACAGTTTTGATTAAATCTGATGGTGGCTGGCTGTCTAGCGATGGAAATGAGGTGGTTTAATGGTCACAAATATTGATGGTGCTGTTTACGCCAAGAATTCGAGCATCACTGAAATCTGTGTTTCACCTCGAAATGACTTTCAAAAGAATGCAGCACTTTACTTTTGAGCCAGGAGGTTTGGATTCCCCTCAGTGAGACCTGCCAAGAAGTAGCTTTTGACTGCAGGGAAGGACAAGTGGGGCCTGGGATAGAATAAAGATAGATGGCTGATAGTTCATTAGCTAGTTAGGCACAGGGAGGGGTATACTGCAGAGAATTGCAGAATAAGTTTTTCAGTCTCGCTGCGGGCCTTTGTTTCAGTGCTGGGTGAAACAGTGTTGGCAAAGGCTTGGTTGCAATTTGCTCCTCCACCTCTTTCAAAACAAACTTCTTGACTGTTTTTCGGTAAGCTCATACACTATCTGTGATGTGATATCCCATTTCAAATAAACAGATAACAGTGGCGGTTCAGAGTAGCAAACTTGGTCATGACAAGCCTTAGTTTTGGCCTCACAGTTGTAGAGTGTTTTTTGCTTCCGTCCTCAGTCCAGCCTCAGGCTTCGCTGTACTCTAGAGACTTGGAGAATACCACTTCAAAGACAGATCCCCTCTCCCCATATATCATATACTGTCTCTCCCCTCCCCTCTAATAAACACAAGAACTTAAGGAATTAATTAGACCCTGGATCAAACATGGAAAAATCAGCTTACTGAACATACCCAGAGTAACGAAATCACACACATAAGCAGTGTGTGTGTGTTTTTATTTTATTTAATTCCATACCCAGTATGACAGAACATATTGGCAGTGTCTTGACCCCGCTCTTGCTCAGTAAGAGATATAGTTCGAAATAACTTGCAGGCTTTGCTTCTAATAGTGAGGGATGGCATCTCAACCCTTAAAAATGCACAGAAAACCTTGTCCTTGATGCAAATACTCCTTTAAGGCCCTTTCTTTCAGCTACGAAGAAATCTACCAAACTCATTTTAACTAAACGGAAACAGCAGGTCAGTTCTAAAATACGACACAGTAGCCTTTATCTTACGAGGGAATGCTTTTAGGAATTATTTAGCTAATTTATGTTACGCTGAGCTGTGTCTGACTTAATCAATAACTCACATCTCACAGCCCATGCATGTCCAATGTGAGATCTTTATTTATAGGTACAGTAAAGATCACAGGCCACATAGTATAAACCAGTACACACACATAATTATATATTATAT